ATTAAACACCCCCAGAAAAAAAGTTTAAAAATTAACAAAAACAACCTCATCTATCCATAGTTGCCAGATTTCGGCAACCGCCATCGATGGTGGCCGGAATCTATCACAACGGCCTTAAAATGATCGGAACTGGTTGTTTATTCACCGATCTGGCCAACAGCCAGATCTGACATTTTGCGGCTGTCGGTGGCCAGACCTAAAAAGGCCAGATCGACACACCGCCGGCCAGATCCGACTGGTTTGAGTCGTAACGACAGATTCTGACCAGATTCTGGCGGTGGTGGCCAGAATCTGGCACTGTGGTTGGTGGGAGTGTTTTTGTTATTTTACAAAATTTTTATATATTGGGGTATTTAGTTAAATTAGCAAACCTAGGGGGTTTTTTTGTTAATTTTTAAATTTTACCTCGTAATACTCACCCTATTCAACTACCCAATATTATTCCTAAAATCCTATCCAAAATAACAAAACAAACGTACCCTATGAGATTTATTCTTCACTATTTACATGTTCCAAGAGAATTATTTTAGGATGGAGCCCAAACTGCTCGGCCGTATGGGCCTTAGAACCCATCACGTGGGGGCCCAAGGGCTAGTGAAGCACGTGTTTGGTCCACTCAAGCAAGTAGACAAAGACGAATTCCATGAGAAATACAGTCCCATCTTAACCGTAAAGCAGTTTCAACGGCTCAAGATTTGAAATTCAAAATTTAAATCAGCGAGCGTTTACAGGTCATTAAGTAGGTCCCACTCAGCGCCCAGCCGTTCAAAAGTTCGCCTCAATCATCATCCAGACCCGTTTGTTTATTCCACCCGTTTGGAGGACCAAGTCCGACATCTCAAAACCATAGAAAACAATTCACAAACCAATGAAATTATTACACGTCAACAGAAACCATGAACCTAACTTAGAGGAACACAAATATGAAACGTGTCAACTAAATGAAGCGAGTAAAACAATTCAGTACGGGAAGGGAAGTGGTGAGAATATGTTTTGAGTTTGACAAAGATGAGGTGGTTCCTAAATTTTCCCGCCCAATGGACAAACGGCAAAAGAACAGCTTCTCTCTCCTTTTATAAATTCCAGTCTGTTATCAGTTCTGCCATAGTCATCAAAACGGTCACAAGTTTCACGAGAAATTCTGAAATTAAAGTATATTGAAATCATGGCCGAAACCTTGAGAGAAGAACTTACCGTTGTTAGTGGTAAGAATCTTTATATATTAGATATAATTTTCTAGGTATTTATTTTAATTTTCTTCATGAAATTTTATGTTATTGAAATGTTACAGTGAATACAACGAAGTCGAAGCTGAGGTATCCGCTCCGATCGGCGGCCAAATCGAAGGAGGAGAAGGCGCCAGTGGTTGAATCTTCGAATTCTTCTGTCACCAGGAGGTTTATTTCATTTACTTCCTAGTTTCTTTTGGTTTGTTTAGATGCAGATATTATTATGGAGACGAAATATATAGTTGAGTATTGTTTTATAACGAATTTAACAAAGTTGGCTTAGAAAAATAGTTGGGCAGCTTGTATGTGATTTTTACATGTTTTCAGAGAAATTATAGTGTTATTTTCTGGGAATTTAATTATCCTCTGAAATTCTTTGTCAATAGTAAACTTTGGTGATCAAAATTGTAAGAAGATTGACCATTCTTTTGCTTCAACTGAAATGATAACCGAGTTTTGAATAAATCTTAGATTCTTATATCTGATTTAAAACCTAAAATTTGGTATCGTAATACTCTTCGGCCAGAATTTTACTATTCATTGCTAACTTTGAATCTGTATTGAACTTAATGTTTTTTCAGGGGAAGAACTGCATCAACCATAAGTAAAAGTGTGAGTGTTCTTGATCTGTCTGGCAAAGAAAAGTCTGCTAAGCCACCTAGAAGGCTTTCTATTCCTGCCAAGTCGACAGTGGGTTCAGTTCCAAAATCAGTTGGCAACATCACTCCAATTTCCGAAACTAGAACTAAGAGATCGGTTAATACTCAGGGGAGAAGCGAAACACCTCTATCTGATGTTTCCAGAGCATCAAGCAGAAAGAAGTTTAGTCTTCTGTCATCAGCGTCATATTGGCTTAGACAGATTAAGCAATCTGAATCTGAGGCTAGGCACTCAATTTCACTTGGGTTTTTCAAACTTGCCTTGGAAGCTGGATGTGAGGTATGCCAATTTAGATGTATAATTTGTTGTCTAAATCATGAGGTTTAGTTGGATTATTGCCGATATCTTTCTTGCACACAATAGTTTCAATTAGTTGCTTTTGCATGTTGTTAGTAAATGAAAAGTTAGGCTAACAAAGTTTTATGTAAGAGATGATTTTCACCATTTGTTTTTCATCCCTTCTAATAGCCTCTTCAGCGAATGCGGGATGAACTCAAATCATATGCTCGTCGTCATAACCTTGGTGAACTTGAAGAACTTGTTAAAGAATTATTTGAGAGCTATAATATAACAGGAACTTCAGAGCAATTGCAAGTCTCTGAAACCTTTTCTCAGGTGCCCGAAGAGGGAAGTCGGTCATCTGATGATGAGGTTCTCAGCTCTTCTTCTACAATCGGAAATAGGAAACTAAAACCGAAGTCCTTGAATAATGATACTGCTCAAGTTTCCTCGGTCACTGTATCAGCCAAGAAGGAGGCTACCACAAAGAACTATCCTTCAACCAGGACCAGGGCATCTTTGAGTAGGAATTCTGCTAATACAAGATCAGTTCCAGAGACAGGAAATGGTAAGATACAGAAGAAGCCGCAGAAGCCAACTAAACCAGAGACCAATAAAGGGAAGGACAGTATTAAACAAGGAAAGAAATCTACTGGGGAAGAAGGCAAGTATACAATGTTATTTCCTGTACAGTATTTGTAATTACTTTGAGGGTGACCTAACATTTTGAAGATATAATTTTTATTTACAGGTCCAGTTAGTCCTTCACTTTCAGGGGACAAAGTTGAAGAGAACAAAGAAAACATGGTAAGCACTGAGCTTCCACGAGTTAACTTGTTATGTTTTGATATTTACTTGCTAGATTTTGATAATTTTCGTCACTGTGTCTAGTGCAGGATTCGACGCCAGTGGAAGATATCTGTCTCTGAGTGAGTGATATCGGCAGACCTTTTAATCCAGAAACGCCGGATCATATCATTGCATACAATTTTAGAGTTTCTTCAGTGTTTGGTTGCCGGTGTTTTCTATTGTATAGGGAGTGTTAAAGGTTGTGGTGTGAAGAAATTGAAAATTTTATTTATTTGTGTTTGGATGATTAAACTGACATTGTGTCTAGTATTATGGAGTAAAATTGTTTTTGAATTTTTTAAACTTTGTTTGTATTGTGAAGGATAAATTTTGATTTTGATATCTGATTTTAATTTGAATTTGTTGAATAGGCTATTCTTAAGAACATATATCTCCGCCAGACGTACCATGCACTCAAAATAAAGTACATTAAAACTTGAATGACATGTAGCTGAGAAGGCATTCTAGCTTTTAGACAATTGTAGTTTGGTATAAAAAGGTGTTATCGAGCTAAGCCAAGCCGAGTTTTGGTGAGCTGGAGCTCGGCTCAGCTTGAATAGGAAGAGCTCAAGCTTGAGATCGATAGAAAAAACAGGGTTTGAGCTTGAGCTCGATAGAAAAAATGGGGCTTCAGCTTAGATCAAAACAAGTTTACCAACGCCTATTACGAAGCGCCTAAGTGAGATTACTTAGCGTGTATATCAATTTCAATGCTTAGTTGGCATTTAACTAAGTAGAGCCGAAACGACCTATAATCAACGTCAACAATTCACTTTCCATAAAACAATACCGAACAAAATTAGCAAATACTTGTGCCTCTAAGATCTTTCTCTGGTGATAGGTCTTTATTGGAGAAAAAGGGAGAAGAAAAACGAAAGGTGAAGAAGGAAAAGAAGAGGAGTATGTAAGTCGACTTGAAGGGGGAGAGAAAGTGAAGAAGAAGAAAAGAGAAGTGAATTGGAGGATGAAGTTAGGGTGTCTCGAATTTTTTTAATTTTATATGCAAAATAGTAAATTACATAAACCTCTCTCATACTTTCAAAACATGCATATCCTTTCGAGCTCAAGGAGGTTCGTGAGTAGCTCAAGCTGAGTACTGGGTGGCTTGGGCTCGACTAGAGTCGACCCAAACTGCTTGAGCTTTAGCTCGACTCGAACTGAGCCCAACCTAAACTTCTTGTGAGCGGCTCAGTTCGGTTAACAACCCTAGGTAAAATAATCTCACCCAATAGCCCAAACGATGTTACTAATTAGATCTAATCCATGAATTTGAAATATTTGAAACGCCATAATGTGAAAATTAAGTTATAATGAGCTCCTGATCTTCGTACTCAATCCAAAAGATCACTCAAATAATAAGTTATACTGAGTTCATCAACTTCATACTCAATCCAGAGATCACTTAGACATAAGATAGATTTCAATACGAGAAAAGTTATTTATAACAGTAACCCACTTAATGTGGGACTTAAAAAACACTAGAACAATGAAATATTAACATATATGAATTAAGGTTGTCTTATCATATGCCCTTAGGACACGTAATAATATCACAGACAAAATATTTGATTATTTTAATGCACTTTATCAACACACATTAAGACAACCCCATGAATGATGGTAAGCCAAGAAAGCATTTTTTGTTGGATTCTCAAAATTCTATGAAAATTTTGTTAAACGTCTAAGATCTTACATAAACATAATAATCAAAATCTTAATATCCTTATCACTTGTTACAAGTGAGAGATTGATTCATAAAACAGCAATTCAAAAATTTTGAATCAACAATGAGGAACAAGTAAATGTCGAAGACTTCTTAAGAAACCCAGGTTAAGTTATGCTTGTAACCAAATAGCAGGAACCAGGTAAGAGCAGACATTTGAATTCCAGAACTCGTAGGATGATCACGGACAATCCGAATACAAGAATTTAGCATACCACAGTAAGTTCATGTCTCTGAATACAAAATGCAACTATGCTCTGATGATGAATAGCTTGTTGAACATCTTATTAATCTCTCCTTCAAGATGTGGCAATTCCTCTAATTCGCAATAAATCAGACCACTTGTATATGAATGCATGACATTTCATGAAAACTAAACGCAAATTGAAGCATAAAATACTATTTTACACAAGCACAGATACACACCACACACAACAGTCATAGTATAATACCGATCAAATAGTTCTAACATTCATATTATGAAAGGATGACATGAGAGATTCAGGAGAAGTTCAACAGCTCCAGACATTAGGTAATGAATTGGCAATGTTCACTAAAACATGCCTTTGAAAATTTCACATGGGGCTAGTCTGCTGTCCAGCTCTGCTCCACTATTTCCCTTACTCTCCGGTTGTACTCGCGCTTGTTCTCACTAAACATCCGAGCAGCTTCTGAATTTGCAGGAGAGTTTGGATTGGGATCACAGAGCAATGACTACAAAAAAAAAAAAAAAAAATCCTTGATTGGAAAATCATCAAATAGATATAACTTGAATGGAAACATATTCAAATACTATATACATATCAAGAAGCTTGCGACTAGTAAAAATATCTTTGACACCTTAAGTTGCTATGTTCATTTCACTAGTCTATCATTAGAAATGTTGCGTCTTAAGAGGAATTTTTAGGTATATCCTTCTTGAATACTACTGTGTAATAAGCTAGTGGTATAGGCTTCATGGAGCAATTAATGCCTAACAAAAGAATATTAAAGATTAATATTCTCTTTGATAAAGCATAATATTTGGAAGGGTACTAATCCAATATCTTTCCCTAAAACGAAAGGCAAAAACCGTTATATAATGCACCATAAAAGTGACATATATAGCATATGTGACTGCTCGGCTACTTATATACAGTAAACAAAAAGCATTATCAAACACATTGCAACAAATTATTCAACAGACCTGGATAGACGTGAGTATAGCAGCTACATCATATATAGGACTCCATTGGTTTTGTAAAATATCCAAACATATACTTCCATCAGCATAAACTGATCAAATGAACAGCTCGGTTAGAATTATTAAAGAAAATCTTATGGGAAGTAAAGAGTAGTAATAACATAAATTTCACAGTGACTTACTATTTGGATGAAACATTCGAGAAACAAATCGCACTGTTGGGGGCTTGTTCGGATAATCCTCTGTAAACTGAAGAGTCAGCTTGAATGTGCCTGAAGAACTCAAAAAAACAAATCCATTTTATGTAGATGTAAACATCATTATTAGTATGCTATGATCAATTAACATACAATTTCATATTGAAAATTGAACAACAAAATTAAACACAATTTTTTGAAGCCAAATAAAGCAATAATGTGTTTTTTTTTTTTTCTTTTTTTTCCTTTTTTTTCTTATCCTATTAAAAGTCAAACTGATTCCAAATAGCTCATAAAAAGACATCACTTGCTAAGCAAAATAAGCTGGTATGAGCAGACAATCAATATTATATTTCAATCTGACAGTAGATTTCTGGATTAGCGTTTCTCAAGAATCAATAAACTCCAAGGGGGCACTACCCAAGCAGCAATAACAAGAACAGAGGCAATATCAATCGTACTATTCTTAAATTATAACTGCTCCCAGCTAATGCCTTGCTTCATCAATCCTAGACGTAGAAAATGACAAGCAAGATTAAAATTTTCTCTAGTTTGCAGTTTTCATTCTTCTGAGGTGTGGAATGTTCTCTAGTTGGGGATAAAATAAAAAAACACTTCATGTCACATAGTTTATGTAGTAGCATATCCACAATACACATACTACCATCTAGTCAAGGACAATGCTTAAAGTAGCTGACTGATCCCAAAAATATGTTTCAGAAACCTATAACATCGACGATAATATATTAATTCATGCCTTTTAACAATAAAGATCACAGATAAGATGAAACAGTCACCTGAAAATACCAATTTCATAAAGAATGAACAGAAAGTAGAGTTATGCTCTCCTTTCAGTAATCAGTATCAAAAACAGTAAAAAAAGAAAGTCCAAAAGTGCAAATTATGTGGAATGCTGAAAATTTCAAAGATTATGCAACTTTTATAAGAAAAAAGCAACTAAGTCAATAATGTAAAAAGTGATTATGAAACTCAATGAAGATTAAGTTGTCCCTCTGTGTTTTAATTACAGGTTTTGCCATATAACAATAATTCACTAAATAGTAAATACCACTATAGAGTAACAGAAATGGAGCTATCATTGAGATCCTGAAATCATCCGAAATGAAATACTGTAATGGAATAGCCTTAATTACAAGCACAACATAACTGTTTAAAAAATTATCAAGAATATGATATAAAGTCACCCTGGAATTTTCAAATCTTTCAATCCTCATGAGCAGATGCAGACACTACAAAGTAAAATGGAATAAACTATTCAACACTTTCCCTTCCAGTAAAAGCTTCAGTAGCAGGATTACTCACCTCCGTCCCATGGAGTATCATCAGGGCTGCAAACCAAATCAGGCAAAAAACCAGAAACTGCTTATCCAACCATATTCAAATATAATGATAAATGAACTGAATTAAAATGAAAAACTTAGAAAACACAAAACGAGATTGGTTTCACATATTGTTCTACACTCACCCAAATATGACAGCATTCCAGAGCATAATATTGTTGTCTTGGGGTGCCCCACTGATGCCAGCGGGTGGATCCTGTTGCAACCTCTTAAAATCTCTCATTAGCCTCTTCCTCGCAGGAGTAGACATCAGCACCACCTACAAACTTCATTACAGTCAACAATTAAAACAAATCCAATTCATCTTTTCACACAATTTTTTTCAGATAACTCTTAAGAACATATTCAATTCATACAGCTTACCCGGAATCATGAAACAAAGACCAAAATTAACCAGTTATACATTAAGAGATCATATCATATAGCTCAATTAAGCAAAGTTTCCACTCTATTTGCAAAAGAAAACAAAATCCTTAGCCTTCTGTCCATTTCACAGTCTATATTTAGGATTTCAGCCAGCGATCAAACAAAATATATTTTTATTTATTTATATATATATAACATATGCTTAATCTTTCCATAGTGTTAAATGGTGGCAAGTAATTCCCAGTACATACAATCGAGATTTTTATGCATCTAAGCAGTCCACAAAATCCATTTTTTTTTTTTTTTAAATTAGCTTTGCAAGCAAAATTTAGATCTTTCCATTGTCTAATCCGATCTAACCGAACAAGCTAAAAGTTAAGAAGCAAAAAAATAAAATGAAATACACAGAGAAACTAACCTGTACGTAGATGATGACAGAAGTTGGGATAGCTGAAAGAGGAAGCTAGGTAAATTGAAGCAGAGGGAGAGACTGTGAGTGGAGAGAAAATAAAGAAAGAGAGAATCTATGGAGAAAGAGAAAGAAGAAGAAGAAGAATGAAGCTAATATATTGTGGTTGGTTTTTTGTGTTTTGAGAGGCCGCCCCCACTCTCTCTGTGTGTTTAATCACACACGTAATAATAATTTGACATGCCAATATTATGATATCTTAGATATTAAATAAAAAAAATAATTAAATTTATTTTGATCCAAAATGTAAAATCTAATACAAGATAGATATTGGAAAAGGGAAGATGATAGGTGGGATACAAGAATCTTTTACCACTGCAACAAAACATGGGTTTGAAAAGGAATAGGAATAAGGTGGTGTGTCGTGATATGAGTAATGGAATAATTCATCTTTTTAGAAGAAGCAGAATATCCCAATCCCTGAACCTAAAAAAAATCTACAGTTGGGAGCTGATGGTGTTAATAGGGATAGGAAGAGATTGTCTTTGTCTTTTATTCCTTCCTGTTTACTTTATTGAAAGAAATACTGGTGCGAGTGGAAGGAAGTGCAAGCCAGTTAATAACAGCAAGCAATTTTATATGTTGAGCAATTGACCTTACGCGTTTTGAATTGAAGTCACTGTCAACATTCCCATTTGACAAATGCGTAGTGGATTAAAATATGCATTTAGGGTTCAAATAATCAAAGTTTATCTCGTCACCCGTCTCCAACCCCATTCAAAGGGTTTCAACTTTGATAGTTGCAGACAAGTTCTATCGTTTTAACTGTGGTCCTTGAAAATTAAAACAAATGAAACCTTGATTGCCGCCATTGCGCGCTACATACCTCTACCTGGCCTTGTATCGATTCGATTCACCATGTCTCTGACATTTTGGATGCTTTTGTGGGTAGAAGTTTCAAGAGAAGAGTTTGGGAAAATTCTGTCTTCGTGTATATCGAGTAATCAATTCTGAGTTGTACAGTATTTTATACTTACACAGTAACTAACCCAACAGAATTAACTCTGGTTAACATCTAACCAAAGTTTAACTCAACAGTAAACTAACTTTCAACTAACTCTACTGCAGAATTACATTAAACATTACAAACATTATATTTATATACTATCATTAAGACCATTCCTTAAGTTGGAGGGTGAAAGAGGTCAAGAACACCCAACTTGCATAATAACTTTGAATGAAGAGGACTTGCAAAAGCTTTAGTTAGAATATCAGCGGGCTGTTCTGAGGATGGAACATAAGCAGTTTTGATCAAGCCCAGCTTGAGTTGTTCCCTCACAATATGGCAGTCAATGTCGATGTGTTTGGTCATTTCATGAAAGATGGGATTGGATGTAATGTGGTTGGCAGCCTGGTTATCACAATAAAGGGGAACAGGAGGTAGACTAGTGAATCCAAGTTTAGTAAAAAGTTGTATGAGCCAAAGAATTTCACACACAATAGAGGCCATGTCCCTATACTCAGCTTTGGAGGAGGATTTGGAAATAGTAGCCTGCCTTTTAGATTTCCATGAAATTAAGAACTTACCAAGGAAAATGCAATAACATGTAACTGATTTCCTTATCATGAGGCAAGATGTCTAATCAGAGTCACAGAAGGCCGATAAATCCATATGATTATGAGCTGGGAAAAATAAACACAAACCTAAGCCTAGAGCTGCCTTGATGTATTTAACTACCTTAAGACCTGCATTCATGTGTGACGGCTTGGGGCTATGCATGAACTGACTTAATAGATTGATAGAAAAACTGAAATCTAGTCTTGTCATGCACGAGTATAACAACTAACCTACTAACCTTTGATAGATGCTAGGATCATCAAGTAATGGATCATTGTTAGTAGGAAAAAGTTCATCATAAGTAGTAGATGTTAACTTCAAAGTGGACTCCATTGGAACTACGGAAGGTTTAGAGCCAGATAACCCAAATTCGGAAATGAACTCAAGAGCATATTTTCTTTGACACAAATTGATCCCTTTACACGATCTAGCCACCTCAAAACCCCAAAAATATTTCAGCATCCCTAAATCCTTCAACTTAAAATTAGACTACATAAGCTTCTTTGTATGATGGATCATATCAATGCTGTCCCCTGTGATGACAATATCATCCACATACACTAACACTAGCACAATGTGAGAATCAATTCTTTTAATGAACAAAGAGTCATCAGCCTTAGATTGAGTAAAACCTCCAGCAATTAAAGCTTGTGTAAGCTTATAATTCCAAGCTCTAGAATCTTGTTTTAGGCCATAAAGTGATTTGTACAATTTACAAACCATATTTTACGCCGCCGCGCCGCCCCCCACCCCCGCTTTGCAAAACCTTGAGGCAAAGTCATATATATTTTCTCTTATAAATCACCTTGTAGAAATGCATTATCTATATCCATTTGGTATAAAGGCCAATTATGTGTAGAAGCTAGGGATAAAATGGTTCGAATGGTGACCATTTTGACCACAGGGGAAAAAGTTTCTGCATAATCGATGCCAACCTTTGAGTGTATTCATTAGCGACAAGTCGAGTTTTATATCTTTCCAAAGAACCATCAGCTCTATACTTGAGCTTATAAAGCCACTTACAACCAATTGGGGTCTTACCAGGGGGTAAAGGGACTAAAGACCAGGTTTTATTGAGCTTTAAAGCCTGTGTTTCTTTTTGCATTGTAGCCACCCAGTTAGGATCTTGAGATGCTAAAGAAAAGGAGGAAGGTTCTACCAAATGCTGATTTGTTAAGTAAGCTTTGTAAGCAGGGGAAATATGATCATATGACACATAATTGGAAATAGGATATGATGTAAATTTGGCAGTAGGTGAAGGTTTGATAGAGGGACGCATGAAATTTGTCGTCCAAATGGAGGGTTTTGTAGGTCTACTAGATTTTCTAATAGGTGTCAAATACTGGTGAGGAATAAGGGAATGATGCTGGTCATTTAAAGAGGCAGTATGAGGTGTTGTAGGGTCTGAATTTTGGTGATGAATAGGGGAATTATTCTGGTCTGTAGGTTCTATATTCTGGACAACAGGTAAAGGATCATCAGAAAAGGGCATAACAGAAGAAGTGGACTCAATATCAAGGAAATCTATATCAATGGGAAAAAGTGGCTGTGTAGATTTGGACCAAGTGAAAGGAAACATTGTTCATAAAAAATAACATCTCTTGTAACTATAACACTATGAGATGAAAGGTTATAAAGCAAATATCCTTTTTAAGTCAAGGAATAACCTAAAAACACACAAGGATTAGATCTAGGTGATAACTTGTCTTTAGAGGTGAGGATAGTAGCATAAGTCAAACAACCAAATACTTTCATGTGATCCAATGAAGGAGGTTTACCAAAAAATTTCTCAAAAGGAGATAACCCTTTTAGAATAGAAGAAGGAAACCTATTAATAAGATACACCATTGTTTGCACATAATATCCCCAAAATTGACTTGGCATGTTAGATTGAAACTTTAAAGCTCTAACTACTTCAAGAATATGTCTATGTTTCCTCTCAACAATCTCATTTTGTTGAGGGGAATAGGCACATGAACTCTGGTGTATAATCTCTTTGCTAGTAAATAGATCATGACATGCTTTATAGAAGAATTCAAGACCATTATCACTCCTAATACATTTGGGAGTGAAATGGAATTGGGTATGCACCATTTGAAGAAAATGTTTGATGGTAATAAACACATTAGATTTATACTGTATTAAAAATAACCAGGTTACTCTAGAATAGTCATCCACTAGGGTAAGAAAATACCTAGCATTTCCATGTGTTGGTATCCTATATGGACCCTAAACATCAACATGTAATAGGTCAAATATGCAACTGGAATTTGAGTGATTGTGAGGAAAAGGAACCCTGGTTTGTTTGGCTAATGGGCAAACATGGTAGTGAGGAGGCTTAGACACATTTAATTGCCCATTCATATGATGCAAAATTGTATAAGGAACATACCCTAACCTTTGGTGCCATAATTCAATATTAGTAGAACAATTGGTAACCATAAAAAACCAAGTGAATCAACACTTTTATTCAACTGTAAATCGAAAGGTACATTATTGTTTGAACAAGACACTACTAAAAATTTGTTTGAAACACTGCAAACAACCTTATTTGGTATATCTACGTTTGACAATATCGAGTTTGTGACATTGGATCAAGAAAATACAAGCCTTGGTTATGCTTACCAATCCCCTTCAATTTGCCACTGTAAAGATCCTGAATTAGACAGAAATCAATGTAAAAATTGATAACATAGTTATTAGAAATTGTAAATTTCGAGACTGAAAGTAGGTTGTGTTTAAAGGTTGGTATATGTAAGACCTTTGAAAGATGTATATCATTGTCCAAAATAACAGAACCTATATGTGCAATGTGAGTTTTAGTTCCATCGGGTAATCCTACAAGTGATTTTGAGGAAGGCATTATGGTAATAGGGGATTATAATATGGAGTAATTACATGTCATATGATCAATAGGCTCTGTATCTATAATCCAAGCATTACTATTTAAATATGAAAATAGAGCATTATGAGTACTATTGAAAGTACCTACCAGATTTGCAACTGAGGAATCTAAAGGATTAACATTCTCCTTTCCTAGCAACTACAAAATGTGGTTATACTGCTCCGATGTCAAAACAGGACCAACTAATGTATTGACAGGTTTTGCATCTACACCTTCCATAGCTGAGTTATATGCTTGCACCTAATTAGTAGAATATTTAGCTTTTGAACCATTTTTTCCTTTTGTAAATTGATAATCGGTTGGATAACCATTCAATTTGTAACAATTTTCACATTTATGTCCACCCAGGTGACAGTACTCGCACTCAATATAAGGTTTCTTTCCTTTATACCTCTGCCCTTGATTCCAGTTCTTACCATTATTTTGAGCATAAAGTGTTGTAGTAACCTCCGAATTAGTGTTCAATCCAACTAAAACCTTTTGGCTTTCATCTTGGTTAACTACAGAGTAAGCTTGCTTAACACCTAGCAAAAGATTCATTAATAAAATCTGACTCCTAACCATAAAGTATGAATCATTCGAACCCATCAGAAATTGTAGCAATTTCTGTTGGTTGAGATGCTCAAGATATGCCTAAGCTGAAGTGATATCTGGAGGGGGTAGACTTACTAAAGAATCCAACTCGTCCCACAACAACTTGAGTTTGTTGAAATAGATTGCAACAGTGTTAGTTCCTCGTGTAAGATTCACAATTTCTCTATGAATTTCATAAACTCTAGTCCCATTGAATTTATGATACTGCTCTTTCAAGTCCTGCCTAACTTAAGAGGCATTGGACGAATAGACAATCCCGTTAAAGATCTCCTTCGAAACTGAGTTAAAGATCCAAGCTAGATCTAGAGAGTTGCATCTTTCCCACAGTGGAACTAAATTAGGATGCACAGATGACTTCGTACAAACTCCATTAACAAACCCTAGCTTGTTCTTGGCACATAAGGAAATAGTCATCGCTCTACTCCAGATTTCGTAGTTGTCCGTTCCGACGAGTTGTTCATATACAAGAACTGATCCAAGCGTATCTGAGGGGTGAACGTAGAGAGGCGAATTCGAGTCTATCGTAGGCACAACTAATTCCTCTGCCATAGTTGACTATACTAAATCTTGCTAGGATTCGAGCTCAAATTGAAGGAATTACTGAAATTTGAGCTCCTTTGAGCTAGATTAGAAGAAGATCAAGAGTTTAATTGATCGAATTTTGATCATATTGCAAAAAAAATCTAAAAATACCATGTTGAAGAGTAAAATAGACAGTTTTAAGAGAAAGTTTGGGAAAATTCTGTCTTCGTGTATATTGAGTAATCAATTCTGAGTTGTACAGTGTTTTATACTTACACAGTGACTAACCCAACAGAATTAACTCTGGTTAAGATCTAACCAAAGTTTAACTCAACAGTAAACTAACTTCCATCTAACTCTACTGCAGAATTACATTAAACATTACAAACACTACATTCCTATAACTATCATTAACAGTACCACTTCATCTGCCAATGACTTCTCAACCACCTGCAGTTGAGCAGATAACTATTTGTGATAGCGTAAAGAATCATTTGGGGTTTTAAGAGGGGCAGCTCTAGTCAACTACTAATTACCATATATATAGTCAATCATCTAACCGAAATATTAATATGCCAAGTTCGAAGCTGCACGTTATCCATGACAGGAGCTTGATTCTGAAAAAACAAATTCTAACATTTTTGTTAAGAACAGAGTAAGAAAAAAACCCTCCTTTAAGAATTAAGATCTGGCTGGACCTTTAAAGCAGGAGCCAAAAAATATCAGACGATGTGAATTTCAGATTGACTGTGGAAAACAGGAATGCTATAACGCAGCCAAAAACCTAAAATCCTACCATCCGGAGTTCATGGTTGAAAGTGGATAGTATGCAATCACGCACAAAATCGAATTAGCTTGTTGAGAGTCATACTACTCTCCCATAGAAGAAATGTCAAAGACAACATGTATACCAAACGATGGCAGTTCATAGAAATTCATTGCAAATTGATTCATAAAATTCTATTTTACAGAAGATCAAAGACACAACACACTGAAAAGTCATACTATAATATGGATCAAATAGCTCTCCCATCATATATGAAAGGTTGACATGAGAAATACAGGATAAATTCAACAGCTCCTGAAATTGGATAATGAAATGCCAATGTCAATAAAACATGCCCCAAAACCTTCAGACTTGAATTACCCCACCCAAGGAAGAGCTAGTCTGCTGTCCAGCTCTGCTCCACTATTTCCCTTACTCTTCGGTTGTACTCACGCTTGTTCTCACTAAACATCCGAGCAGCTTCAGAATTTGCAGGGGAATTCGGATTGGGATCGCAGAGCAATGACTGCATTCAGAAATAGACAGACAATCATCAAATAAATTCTCTTGCTCAATGAGGATATCTTGAATGAAATATACTCAAAAGCTAGATATCTGCTAACAGCTTGGTGAATGTAGCTGCTTTTATATCAGTTCACTGCAAAAATGGAAGTGACTTCATCATACTAAATATCTATCTTCTGCTTAAATAGATTTTTGCATTATGCAGGAATTTGATCATGAAACCTGATGTTTGTCCTACTTCTATCTTTCTATACACCACAAGTTCACTAAAAATGACTAATAGAGAGAGATTAAAAACTAATGTAGTGTGGAGATCCAAAACTTTGTATCACTAAAAGTCTTGTACTGTCAAGCAGTTTCAATAATCACCTATCCACCGACAAATGATTAAACTTAATGTACAAGTACAAATATTATTCAGATCATTTCCATAGTCTATCCAGATGGATGGGGCATTAAAGAAAATGGCATAACTATTGCCAAAATGTATATAAAGTAATATGTAACAAAATGGAGATGTACGTATAAACTACAACCAACAAGTAACAATCAACCACAATTAGTAGCAAAATAATACATAATGAAGTAGACTGAAACTTGTAATAATCCTTTGACACCCTAAGTTGCTCTGTTCTCATTTACTACACTATTAGTAGAAATGTCGCAAGGCCAAGATACAAAAGAAAAAAGGACAAAAAGGATTTTCTATTGTGTACATCCTCCCAAGTCAGTGTACCAGAGTAAGTGATAAGTTAGGAAACTGTAGTGTACAAATAACGAGGCAAGGAGAAGCAGATCAAAGCTTAATATTCTCTTTGATAAGTAGATGAGAGATTAATATTTGGAAGGTACAGCTACATTCTCTCTTTAACACCAAAGAGCAAAAACTGTAACCTATATAGCATATGTGCCTGCTCTACTAGTAAATATACAAACAAAAAGCAATATTAAACATAGCAAAAACATATTCCACAAACCTGGATAGATGTGAGTATAGCAGCTACGTCATATATAGGGCTCCATTGATTTTGTAAAATATCCAAACAAATACTTCCATCAGCATAAACTGACCAGAGTGAACAGGTTTGTTAGAAATGGTAATGTAATAATCTAATTGGGTTTAAACAGTAACAGTAAGAACTTTACAAATTAAGACAATTAGCATGTTGACTTACTATTTGGATGAAACATTCGAGAAACAAATCGAACCGTTGGGGGTTTGTTTGGATAATCCTCTGTAAACTGAAGAGTCAACTTGAATGTACCTGAAAAACTCAAAAAAAAAAAAAAAAAATATTTTGAATGTAGATGTAAACAACATTGAGCTAGGATAAATAAAGAAACATTTTCAGATTGAGGATTTTACTGGATTTTTTTTCCAAAGACTTACTCAATTTTTTTCCAACGACCAAATATATATAAAGATCATTTTCTATTCAATGACATAATAATTCCAAATAGGTCATGAACAGGACATCCCTGCCCTATGACAAATAACCTGTTATGAGCAGACAATCAATAATATATTTTCAACCTGGCCTCAAATTTCTGGATTAGCTTTTCAAGCTTTGTCAATAATACTGAAAGGGGGCACAACCCGAGCACTGATTGCAGGAAAATGCCATATAATTCTATCCCTCCCTAAAATGAAAACTGCTGCCACTGTCCTAGCTAATGCCTTGCTTCATCAAATTCTAATTATAGGCAATGACTAGCAAGATTGAATCTTATCTACTTTGCAGTCCTTTCGTTCTTAACAGACCTAAGTTGACTCCACTTTAATTCAGCCATTAGCTTAAGCCTAGTGTAACAAAGGGCTTCATTGTAGAAGCTTAACAGGGCAGTTGTTGAACAGCTAATGTAAGTATTCCTTTTTCCAAATACAGAGTGACCTTTCAATGGCAAAGTTGAGGTAAATTCTAGTATCCAACATGCATAAGATTGTATGCATGTATGAGTTCAAAACTACAACTCTACTTTTAGTCTCAACTGCAAATTATTGGTAGCACTACATGTGTTGCCTATGGGTTAGTTTGAATGGAATTTTTACAGAAAATATAAAATAACTCTATGCCACATAATTTTTTATGTAGCTGATGCACCAACAAGCATACTACCATCCAGTCACAGACAATGCTTTAAGAAGCTAATTTATCCTGAAAAAATATATTTGAGAGAACTATAACATTTGAACTACAACATTATTTCATGCCATTTAACAATGAAGAAAGCAAACAAGATAATACTAATTTTATAAGAGTGAACAGGAGGCAGAGTATCCTTTCATTTTCAGTCTGAAAAACAGTAAAATACACAAGTGCAGAAGTGCAACTGGTATATTATGCATGATGCTGAAAATTTCAATTAATATGAAGTTTGCAGAATAAAAAGAAACCAAATTAATATGGTAAAGATGATTACAAAAGTCAATGAAAAATTAATTTGTTCCATTGTGCGCTAATTATAGCTTTTTTCATGCCAATAATCAATACTAAATAACATCATACATGAACAGAAATGCAGTCACTCATTGAGACCCTGAAATCAAAGCAATTGAAATACTATCATGGGATAGACTTAATAGTATAAGCACAAGAGAGTCATCTAAAATCAAGAATAGAACATAAAGTCTCCCTGACATTTCAAATCTTTCAATCTCCATAAGCATATGCAGAAATTGCAAAGTACAGTGGAATAACAATTTAACACATTGCCTTCCAGTAAAAGCTTCAGTAGCAGGATTACTCACCTCCATCCCAAGGAGTATCATCAGGACTGCAATCCAAATCAGACAAGAAACCAGAAACTGCTTACCCAACCATATTCAAATATACTGATAAATGGAAGGAAATAAAATAAATAACATTAGCAAACACAAAAGAGACTGGTACACATTTTGTTATGCTCTTACCCGAATATCACAGCATTCCAGAGCATAATATTGTTGTCTTGGGGTGCTCCACTGATGCCTGCAGGTGGGTCTTGTTGCAACCTCTTAAAATCCCTCATTAGCCTCTTCCTCGCAGGAGTCGACATTGGCACCACCTGCATTAATGTCAACATTGAAAAAAAAAACCCAATTTATCTTTTCACACATTTTTTTCAGTTAAGTGACTCCCAAGAACAAATTAAATTGATTAATATCTCCCAAAATCATGATACAAAAACCGAAAATTCATCTTTCAAATTACTTTACCAAATAAGTAACTGTAAGAACAAATCCAATTCATACGTCTCTCCAAAAATCATTAAACTAAAACAAAATATGACCAGTTATGTCTTTAAATATCATATCATCCATCTCAATTAAAGAAAAATAAATTCTTAGCTTTCTTTCGATTTCTCAATCAACTTTCAGGATTCCAGCCACTAATGATAACCAAAAGGAAACTTTCATTTCAAATTAACATATTGTTAATCTTACATAAACAATTAACAGGTGCAAGTAATTCCAATAGCAAACTAAAACAATCAATTCCCATGCATCAAAAAGACATAAATTAGGTCTTTTACTGGCTTAAATAACAAAATTTAGATCTTTAGTTCCTCTAATCCGATCTAACCGAAAATAAAATAAGCTTAAATAAAATAAAGAAAAAAGAAAACTGCATAAAATTAAAGAAAGAAACCAAAATGAAATGAATAAGTGTCTAACCTATATGTGGATGAAAAGAGGTGGTGGAAAACCTCAGAGCAGAAGCTAGGGCTTCAAGTTTTAGCTCCTAATTGATGGAATTTATATAAAACGAAAAAAAAGGATGGAGGAAAATGGTGAGTACGAGTGGAGAGGAAAAAAGGAAGAGTGAATCTAAGGAGAAAAAGAGAAAGAAGAAAAAGAATGGAATTATTTTAGTTTTATGTATTTGTTGGGACGTGTTTGGCTTCTTGTGTGTTGTGTTGAAGCCGTCCCCAGTCTTCCTCTTGTTTTTTCAATATTTGCACAAATAATCCCTGAGGACCTTTTAATTAAATTTCAACCCATTTAATTTAATTAACCATAAAATATAACTTTCATATTTTTACAAAATTATATCCAAAATTAAAAAAAAAAAAATACACATAAATCTAACCATTATCATATTTAATATATATATTTAAATAATTTTATTTTTTATAAACATTATATTTGTTTTATCTTATATCAGTTAATTTATGAAACTATAAATGAGATTTTGAAAATAAAAAATATGGAGGTATTTAGATGATATAAATAAGAAAGGTATGGGAGGAGGAGTATTTGGGTATTGATATAAAATAGGGGATGTAAAAGTGATAGGGACTGTGTAATGTGTATACACATAACACATTTATTCCTTCTTATCCATTTTCTTCAAAAGAATAGAACACTGTAGATCATAATATACTTACTGGACTGTAGAATTAGATGGCCGCCAGCCGCCGGGACCAACTGCTCTACGAGAATTTTAAAAAAGGTTGGAGATGCAGGGGATCGAACCCTGTACCTCTCGCATGCAAAGCGAGCGCTCTACCATTTGAGCTACATCCCCTCATTGCCTCGAAGGAGAATTTTAATTATAATTATAAATGTCCCCTAGGTTTTTGCGGAAGCACACTTACCTCCTTATATTTTCATTTATTCCCTAAAAAAGTTCCAAAAAAACCCCATAATAAGGGGGTATATAATTTTAAAAAAGCAAGGGGGTGTTATAACTTTCTCACCTCTCAAGGGTGGGTAAAAAATCTCTAAATTCTGTGTCTTCATCCTTTAGTTTTTGCAAGTTAATAATTACCCTATAAACATGTTTGGTATTATGTAGTGCTGTATATTAAATTTATACCTAATTGTATTGAGAGATGATCCATACTATTGATGTTGGATTTTGACACCAACGACTCACACGTGCAAAGTGTTAAGCGGACTTAGAAATTACACGTGATATAAAAATGTGCAATGAGAGGATAAATAAGAAGCGACTGTTAAAGTGGTTTGGATGCTCAAAAGCAAATCTTACGTCCACTGTGATTGTATTAATAGGTGGTTACAGTCAGGTAAGAAGCGACTGTTAAAGTGGTTTGGATGCTCAAAAGCAAATCCTACGTCCACTGTGATTGTATTAATAGGTGGTTACAGTCAGGTCGCGTATAGCGAGCTGAATTATAATCTAGAGAGAATATATATATATATATATATATATATATATATAGAGAGAGAGAGAGAGAGAGAGAGAGAGAGAGAGAGAGAGAGAGAGTATGCTTTGGAAGATTGAAGATGAGCCAATCCCGTAAATGAGAGAGGAGCCCTCTATTTATAGTTGGTGGATCCAAGGTAGTAATCATGATTCTGCAGTCGAGCAGGTGTGGTACAATTCCTAACCCGCTTTCCATTGGTTGTCTGCACGGGAGACATCCTTAAATTGCGTAGGGCTTAGGCAGATGGACAATTCCTAGCCACTCACAAGCTTGGCATTCACCTGCCACACTATCGATAGCCATACCTCTTCTATCCTTGCGTGACGTGGCAGCGTCTAGATGGCACAAACCCTTCCTAAACTCTTATTAGCCCTTATTGACGTGAGCTCACGTCAGCCATTATTTTTTTAGGCATAACAGAAGCCCCCCAATTTTTAAGGTTTATGGATTGAACCTTGAGAACTTCATGATTATACAGCGACTTGACTTGTCCCGAATGACGCTTGACCGAGCTGATCGAGCTATAAGGAGGTCGCAGCATAGGTCTCTCAGAGTAACACAAGCGACCTGAGGTGACCTTCCCCTACAAATTCAACGACCTAGGTCGAACCCTACTCAGTGATATACCAACCTGCTTTAACTTTCGTCCGTAGCTCGCGACCTAAAAATACTTAGCATATTTTTACCGAAAGCAAGGAATCACATCGTCTCAAAATCAATACATGGCGAAGAGTGTTTTACTCGAACAAACTCTTCAGATGTTATCTGTTGCACTTGACAGCTAGTCTGGTTAGTTAAATAATCTTTATCCTGACAGACGTGTCTATTGTGCAATAAGTGCCAACCATGCCCATTAAATGCAAGCCATGCTGAAACGACATTCCCTTTCAGAGCATTAAATGCAGATGAGGGCGTATTTAATGTGGGAGAGATAACTGTGTTGATGCTTGGTTGCTCCAATAGAGGGAAATGTCGATTGGTATCCACGAAGTGTGAAGGTTACTCTTCTCGCTGATTAATGACACCTAGTCATAATCAATGGCGAGAAACGTATCCAGCCCAAGCGTCGCTTGCTTAGGGAAACCAATCATCATTTTTTTCCCCTATAAAACCCTAGGTTCGCCCCAAGTTTTATCACAAAACTCACATTTTCAAAGAGAAAAAACAAAACTCTTGCAAAATTAGTTAGCTCTTCTCCCAATTGATGTGCACTCTCCGTTACGACAAGAAGTTCATTCCCAACAATCAAGAGGTAAGGAGGACTTCTCCTTTGTTTTCTTCTATTATTTTTGTTACTAGCTTGACTTATAGTAATGGTGGGTATAAACTGCCTGGTAAGCTTTCATGGTGTGTATCTCTAGACAGCAGTAAAAAGAGAACTTTTTTCTTTATAGAAAGTGAGAACTTAGGGCACAAATCCTTGGGGATTCATTCTTCAGGGTTTTTCTATGGGTTAAGGTAAATTAGAGTTTCTTTTGCTCTTCCACGTCATCATACGGAACATTGTACGGAGATTGAGTTATCTCTACATGTTGCCCCTTTTTCAGACTTTAAGAGCAATGGATAATCTAGCAACTAGAGCAATTGAGGGGACGAGGTCGTAGGTGTCGGGCGCCCTAGTAGGTCCTGTGCAAAAGGCCTTATCAGTGGCCACCCGGGACGAGATACAGTAAGCGGTAGACTAGTTCGCACTTAGCATGGATATCTACCAGCATAAGACATACACAACTCGGAATCCCCCAAAGGAAATGGCCACGATCTCCAAGGCAATCTTTAAATGTGGGGCGTTGATACCTTTTCACCCTTTCATTAGATCGATCCTCGACCACTTCGAGGTCGCGCCACTACAATTGATGCCTAATGCGTATATAATAGTTGTTGCTATGTATATTGCATGTTACGAAAATAGTCTTGGCGAGCTAATAGCGTTGGAGCTCGCATGCGCTTACTATCTGAAGAAAAGCAAAGATAAAGACTTTTTTTACCTTTCAAAGTGATCTACAATCGAGGAATGAATATTTGGTTACCCTAGTAACGTCGGGGCTTATGAGACCAAATTTTTCTTTTTTGCATATGATGGTGTTTGCCAGTTTAGGGAGCCAAGTAGGTTTTTCTTTCTTTTGATTTGCAAACTGTTCCTTTTTCTTCAGCTCTTATACTTAACGAACTTTTTGTTTCTTTGCAAGAAATAAGATGATCAGATTGACGACTCTGACAGATTTTAACCGAATTATGACATTCGGTCATCTACCCGAGCAGAGTCGCAATGCAAGATTGCTCGTGACTACTGCCAACTTAAGAAAGTATGATTTTTTCAATCTGAAAGCATCTCTGGAACCCTTAGCCCATAAGTATCTTCACACTTAGAACCCTTTTCTTTTGCCTGAGGTGACCTTTTTACTAACATACTTTCATGTCACGCACTGACCATGCCACCTAAGGTTCCAAGGCCATTGACGAGGACCAGAGGGTTCGTATTTCCATGGGTCACCCCGACTGTGCCAGCCGAGGCAATCCCCGACAGTATCCCTACTGGAGGGATACATATTGGCGCCAAAGGGCAAACACCCACAGAGTGACATAGGGAAGCTTCTCGGCCCGTGGCTACTCGCGCCGCTAAGCAGAAAACCAAGAAGAGGAAGTAGCTGCTTGCTGAGGAGGAATCAGAGTTCGAGCCGAAGAGCTTAGGGGTTCCGTCTAGGGGATCACAGCTTTACCAAGCTTTCCACTAGTGGGTACCCCCGAGGAGCGCACCAAGCCCCTTTGCAGCCCCCAAAAGCTCGTGCAGAGGAGAGAAGGAGGTCGCGGTTGCCCAAAGGAGAGCGGGTAAACAACAGGTCAATGAGATGCCAGTTCCTTTGGGGTTAAACACGCTTGTGCTGGATTCATGAGGCAACTCCCAGAGAACCTGTAACCGGTGTGTATACCCTACTGGAGTGCCAACTAGTTGCGGCCTTCGAGAAGTTCGTGGCTTCCTGACCCACGGACCTAGTGGCTAATGTGCTTTAGCTGCAAATCTGGGTAAAACAACTTGTTCTTGTCGAGGACTTTCCAATATCAGTTAATTTTCTAACCTTTATGATTTTTGGGAAAATGGAGGTTAACTCTTGTTTCTTTTCTCATGCAGTCCTTGCTCGCCTTGCATATGGCCTAATAGAAGATCGATCTAGACTTTGTTGAAGGGTTCCACGAGCTGAGGGAAGAGAATACCAAGCTGAAACAGGACTTTGCGACTCTGGACGCAGAAGCGAAGGCGATCCATATTCAAGCAAATCAGTACTTGGTAGAGAGAAATTTTGCCCTTCACACAGTGGACTTCCAGAAGGCTGAGCTCGAGAAGAGAGGCGAGGAGAACAAGGAGCTCCAAAGAACAGTGGCCAAACTCACCAAATAGTGTGACAAGAAAGAGAAAGAGTTGAAGGCGAACTCTGAGCATGCCATAAAGGCAGAGGAAGACAGAGCTCGATTGTGGGAAAACTTTGAGAAGTAGAAGAGAGCTCTAGAGGTAGATCTCGAGCTATCCCAAGGGCGTGTCACTTCATTAACTGATCAGATGA